CAAAGGTAATTCATTTCACTTGGGTCAAGGGAGAGTAATTTGAAGTGGTTTTACAACCACTGGATGGCTATCTCTACTTGTACCAGGAGCAATTATTACTAGTGCTGAAAGCTGTCTGTTCTCACCTGCTGTGCCTGCCAGTGAACAACAAGAATGCTGGTTTGTTAGACACTTGGCACATGTTTAATCTGTGTACTGATATAGAAGATCAAGTTCCTGAAAGTGTGTGACCTAACATCGGGTCACCCAAACCAGCACTCTACTAAGTGGTTCTAGTCATACCCAGTCTTAAGCACAAGAAAGTCTTCTGGGTGTATATCTAGGAGAGATTTTTCCTTTAAATTCCAGAACATTCTGAATTTTCTTACACCAATCAAGTAAAGCAGAGTACCTCTTCCTGTCTTCCCATTGGAAATCCTGATTTCTGTTACATCGAAGGAGAAGGGATTGCAACAAAAGTCTAACTTAAAAGCACGATGTTACCAGAAGTGTACTTCTTTTTCAGATAAAGAACTTATATGTTTATTCTACATGAATGTTACACAAGGACCTACAGGTCCATGGGGCTGGAGAGATGGCTGATATTCCAGAGGACCAAGATTTAATTCTGTTCTCAGCACCCATATAGCAGCTTACAGCCACCTATAACACTGACCCCAGAGGACTCATCACCCTCTTCTGGCCTCCAAAGGAACTCCATTCATGTGGTATACTGACATACTTGCAGGCAAATACCCATGCATATAAATGAATTGATATTTTTAAAAAATGGTTTAGAATCTATAGGTCCTATGTGATGACTAAAAATTACCCAACAAAAATGCAGGTTTTTGGATCCTGCACATGATGATATATATATATATATATATATATATAATCACCTTTTCTCCCCATCTCAAAGGAAAATCTCTCTCTCTCTCTCTCTCTCTCTCTCTCTCTCTCTCTCTCTCTCTCTCTCTCTCTCTCTCTCTCTCGCTTCCCAAGCTTTAAATTTAATCTCTACTCCACCTCTGCCCTCTCATTCAACCATTGGATGTGATCTATCAAATATTTATTATGTGCTACCATCCTAGCAGCGTGTGGTGATACAGGAAGGAAGCAGATTTGACACATATTCAAGAACTCTGGGATACAAAAGAGAAGGAAATAAAATTGACAAATGGATGATGTGAAAGAAATTCAGGTAGCTATAACAGAATAATAGAACTGCTGAACTTTGACAGGGTGGCCAGAGAAAGCTCTGTGCAGGAAATATTGAAAGTAAGGCACAAGTGAGTCAACAAAACTCTCCACTGGGCCTGGGACTGGGGCTCATTGATGAGACAATGCCACATATCCAGGTCTCAGGACCACATACTTAGTGGTTACAAAGAACTGGGAAGGGGGAGTGTAAGAATGGAACTGAAGGAAAAAATCCTGAGAAAAGGGTGAAAATCAGGTGAGTATGAAGTCTCAGGATACCAGGAAAATATCAAGAATGAGTCAAAGAGACTAGACATGTCAGTTGAATCAACTGCCACTGTAAGGTAGACCATCCTAAGGAAAGCCTGCCCCATTGATAATTTTGACCATCACTGATATTTTTGTCAGTTCCTAATTCTATCTGTACCATACCTCACATCCATAAATGTATGGCTTCATCCCTCAGGAAAGGGAGAGAAAAAGGCTGACAAATTTGCCTTCCTCTCACCTAGCAGCTCTCTGCCTCCTTTTTAAAGATTTCATACAAAATAGTCTACACAGCCCAGCCTGTTCCTGCATCTCTCTTGGACTAACCATCACACTGTAGCCTCACCCAAACCCTCCCTCCTCAGTGAATCACCCTCTCATCACTCCAATCTTCCCTCGTTACCACCACAGCTTCTGAGAGCTGAAACCTTACCTTAGAGATATAAGCTATCTTTGGAAAATAAATTTCAGAATTTAATTTGTTTCCAAAATTGTTTTTCAACTGCTGGTGATTATACAGCCAACTACATTTTTTTATTAATACTTGGCAAGCCTGTAATTGGTGTCTTTCTTTATCCTAATTCTTTCCTAAATTTGAGTATCAATAGTCAACTTATGGCAAAGTATTATAATTAATATTTTGTTGGATTTCTGCAAAATTATAAACTTTAAAGAAGCCCTAAATGTAGTTTTTAATAGAAAGAAAGAAAGAAATGAGAGTAAATGGCTAATTTAGTATTTCTTTGAGTTATAAGTAAACCTACCTAGGGGAGAGGGAGTCCCACATTTTAAATAAAAGCTCCCAAATAAAAGCTATTTCCTACTTTAACTTCTTAAGTCCTTGGGGTGGACTTCAAAGGTGTATTTACTTCCTAATTTCCACAGTATTCAACAATTCCTTACATAGCAAAAAAAGTGAATGACGTGTGACAAAACTGACAATTATTAAACAGAAGGCAGAGGCTGTCCGAATTTGGGGAACCATGATAGAAAACACCTGGAGCGTTTGCAGATGTTAATCGAAACAACATGGATTCTAAGGATGCCCGTGAGGGTCAGAAGAAAGTGAGGCACACTGCAGAGGACATTTCTATCACTACTCTGAACATAATGTCACCATGAGAAGATATTTGTCAAAATATGGGCACTGGAAGTGTTTCTCCTTATGGCTTGCAGGGACTGAGCAGTAAGTGACAGGAAACTGGTGAAGAGGTAATGTGTATTACAGAGTGTTAGGGAACTTGGCTAAATTGTGTCCTCTGTCACATGTAAATGAGCAGAAGTTGGAGGTGGTGAACTTGGACATTTGTTAAGGAGAACAACAAGCATGGCTTTGAAGGTGTGCCCTGGTAACTTCTTTCTGCTCGCAGCAAAATGTAAGAGAGGGTAGATAAATTAGGTGAAGCTGTGGAGCAGAAGTCTCAGGTGTTACAGCAACCACAGGTAATTAATATAATCCTATATTACTATAATTCCGTAAAGTATAATGCTTATACTTTATAGACATTCCATTCTGTTCCTTGTACAGGATAAGATTAATTTCGGCAACCTGTTATTTTACATTAACATTAGCATCAGATTATGGCAACTGATTGAATTGTGTTACTTTGACTTTCTAGCACCTGAAAATGCAGATGTTCATTTTAGACCTCCAATGTTTTCTTAAGCTTAATCACATATTATGAGGGTACTGAGTTAGTTTTATGTAAGAACCTATATCCTCACTAATGGATCAGTGACTTGTGAGACATTCTTCTGTCTCTTGTTTTGTTTATGACAAAGATTTTCAAATTCTATGCAAACTTTCTGAATCTGTTTTCTATGGCTGAAGGTTTGATGCATTTTTTCTCAAGGCCTTTTAGTTACTGTGCTGAACAATCAACTTAGGAAAAGATTGAAATTATAGACCATAGTGCCTTTGCTTGTAGTTTTCAAAAAAAATCTCTGTATCATGTAGCAAGAAAGGTTTTTAATCCCTGTCTTGTAGTGGGTGAATTAAAGTGCAAAGAAATTATGCAATTTCTCCAAGCCAGTAATTAGGGATAAGTGATATGTGGCAATATGTTTATTTAATTCTCAATCCATACTCTATTAGTTCATAAAATCACTGTAGACCAATGAAACAAAAACCACATCATTTTACATTCCCATGTATATTATAACCACGTAAATGATGATGGGTGAGTCATTGATTGTCTCATGCTTCATTTTGTAGCATTTAAAAAAGTATGTGATAATACATTACACAATTGCATCTCAGGCAATTGCCATGGTATTGAATTAAATTACATTCACAACAGTGCTTTGACAACCATAAACAAAAAACAAGCAAATGTTGTTTGTTTAACTATGTAGCATTTGCTTTTATCTGTGTCTTATTCATTAAATAAACAAAACTGAGCCACGGTACTTAACAGAAGCTCCGGTTCTCACAAATGCTGCATCAACTGCTGGCTATTTTTACTCTAAGGATTTAAGCTTCCATGGTTAATTCTAGAACTAGGGGGAACCAGAGTTTCAGTCCCAGATCTGCGACTTACTAACAACATAATCAAGAAGAGCCAGTGGCTCTGTGACTTTGGCCATTCATCTATTAAAAGGGGAAAGAGGTCTGAGACTTACATTGAAATAAGGCAGAGTATTCGAGTGTTTATTTACACTCATCACAAATAATTATGTTCCTAAGAGGAGGTATGCTAGTAGTATGGCAGATATAATTTGAAAGGTCCCACTAGGAGCTACCCTGTAATAGTGACAGAGGCCAGACAAGGAAAATGCCACAGCGAGGCAGCATGAGCTGTAGAGCTGATACGAAACCATGGCCAGATGCAGCCTACCGAGCACCTGCTCCCTCTTAGCCTAGCTCTCATTTTTATGCCAGCAAAATGACATCAAGTATGGCTACTCTGCAGTAGTCACAGCAAGGAACTTCCAAATAGAGAAATGGGAAAGAGCGCAATTATTTGGCACATGTACATTGTACCATAAATACATCCATATGCTGAGTGGCGTGAAGGCTATCTCTTTTGGCATTTGGCAGATGGCTATTTATACAGGCGATCATAAACTACTTAGTAACACTAAATAACTCAGAATGCTCTCTTCTGGTATATAATTTAATAATGGTGGCAATAGCTACCCTTCAGTGAATGCCTGTGCCAGGAACTACGACAGATAGTTTCTATGCAGTTCATTGGGCTCTGAAACTCTTAATAGAACCATCACCTTGTTTAGAAGATGTGAGAACTGAGGCACAGAAAGAATAAGTAGATTATTATTGAGGTTAATATCTTGGTGGCAGGATTAAAGTAGACTCTAAACTTCCTCAAAGCCTGTACAATTTTCACTGCAGTCCTATACCTCCAAAGGTGGCATCATATCTGCCATTGTTAGTCATAGCAACAAATGCTGTTGCTGAAGCACACAAGATGATCATGGTACACATATAAGCTGGTGACAGATAGATATGTATGTGTGTGTGTTCAGATTATTTAGGGCCCTTTGTGATCTCCGCAGTCTGTCTCTTGAGCTGTGCTTGTATTCTGACCCAGGTGTGCAGAGCAGCTAGTTCACAATGACCTCCCGACCACCAGCATCATCATGTGCTTTGTAGATGAGGTGTGGTCCGCTCTCCTGAGGTCCGTGCACAGCGTCCTCAACCGCTCTCCTTCACATCTCATCAAGGAGATTCTGCTGGTGGATGACTTCAGCACTAAAGGTGAGAAAACTGACTTGCAACAGTAAAGCCTGATGGAAGGCCAGTGTTATTTTGGGTTTAGAGGTTAATTTAATGAAGCTTAAGTATTTGTAAATGACACATTATTGTTTCATGTGGAGCCATAAAAACAAAAGCATAAGCTTTGATCATGTATTGCGAATTGAGGCTAGAGACATAGCTCAGCAGTTAAGAATACCAGCTGTTCTTCTGGAGGACCTGGGTTCAATTCCCAGCACTGACAAGGCAGCATAAAACTAACTGTAGGTCCAGGGGTATCCAACATCCTCTTCTGGCCTCAATAGGCACAGCATGCATGTGGTACCCAGACACACATACAGACAAAACACCTGTTCATACCATAAATGCATCTTTAAGAATATCGTTGGTCGTCCAGGTTCTGCTGTGCTGGATGTCTCAGCCATTCCTATTGTGACTCCTCTGCGTTGTAGGGATGTTTGTCAGTGATTTTAATGCTGCCATTCCCGAGATGATCACTTGAGTCCAGAAGGTGATGAACAAGTCGTATTTCATGGACTGTAATGAGTAAAGTCTCCCTGTTAATAGAATTGTTTTTCTACTGTCAGTAGCCTAAGTGAAACTCTATGGAAAGCAAAGAAATGGAAGTCCCCTGGCTTCTCCTAAAGAGCAAGGAAGATCCCTGTGTGCAGTTAATCATGGAGAAGTCACATTTTCAAAGGATCAGAAATGATTCCAGTGCAATCTGGAAGGAGAACCTGTCACAGTTTTTAAGGCCCCGTTGTTTTCATTTGTTACTTTGAAGAATTCTGCCCTTTGCATTGCCAAATTATCTCTCTGTATAGGAAGTCTCCCAGGCTCATTGATAGCCACAATGTTAATTCCCAAATTTTCACCCATTTTTTTAACTAGAAAGAACAGCAAATGAATTGTGATGTTGAAACACAACCGAACCTTGCTCAGTAACCACAGTGATATACATGTGTTCTTTTGGTTCTGTTATTACTACCATAACCATAGTGAACTCAAGCAGCAATCAGATGCCAAAAGAGACCTGAAAATGCTAATAAGTGATCTTGACAACATGCACAGAAATAGTAGCCAGCTACCAAGCAAAAAGAAACCATTGATGAAGTGTCTTTGATGATTTTTTATGAACCCTGAATCTTGTGCAGTTTCAGGGTCCTCTTTAAGAAACCCATATACACAAGGTGGGGGTGACATACACCCTTAATCTCAATGCTCAGGAAACAGAGGCAGGCAAATTTCTGAGCTCAAGGCCAGCCTGGTCCACAATGTGAGTTTCAGGACAACTAGGGCTACAAAGAGAAAACTTGTCTCAAAAAAGGCAACCAAGCAAAAAAGAAATGTACACACACACACACACACACACACACACACACACACAAATTAGTAGAAAATTAAACCTAAATATATTCCAGAAAAACCAGATGTGGTGGCATATACCTGTAATCTTAGTGTATGGGTGCAGAAGTAGGAGAATTAAGAATTTAAACTGAGCCTGGGCTACACAGTGAACTCCAGTCTCAAAAAGAAAAAAAAATCTGGAAGCCATTCCTACCCAGGATAGCTGAGCTGTCAATAGCTACAGAAGTAACAGTAAATATATCCTCAAACACCTCTAAAATGTTCTTTGGCTAGATCCCCCTATATCCAACGAAAAGGCAAAGGTGCTTGAAGCAGATACCATGTGGCTGAAGCCCTAAGTCCTATTACCAAAGCTGCAGACCAGGACTGAACATGGAAGAACCAGGAATGCCCTTCTTTGCATAGCAGAGATTGTATAACTGGAATCACATACAGAGTATCTCAGGCTGGTATCCACAAGCTTTATGCCTATAATCGGGACTGCTTTCCTTCCAATGGTGATAAGTATATGCCATCAAACTGCCCACAAATATATTCACTCCAACAAAGCAAGTCCTTCACCAAAAATGGAGACCTCAGCAGCTTGTGTAAACACTTGTTGCTCTGCCCACTGGCCCTTTAATATACTCAATAAATCATTCAATATAGAAAAGAGACAGAATTGTAATGCTTAACCAACAATAACTGTGCTGACTTCTTACAAATTTTCAAATTTGTACAAGTGATTTAGGCTTCCATCTTAGATTTGAGAAATTAACCATTTTAGAATATTGGGCCCACATGAAATATTTTCAGTAAGATGACATTAAATAAAATTATGGCCCAAAGATACAGTTTGATAACTGGAATGACATAGTTTTGGATTTGACATTGAGGAGACACTGCTGGTAAACCTAGTTAATTAAATTATTCTGTGTTCACTCTTACCCTGATATAGACTACCTAAAAGATAATTTGGATAAATACATGTCTCAGTTTCCAAAAGTTCGGATCCTTCGCCTCAAAGAGAGACATGGCTTGATCAGAGCGAGGCTGGCCGGGGCACAAAATGCAACAGGTAAGAAACTGCTCCACTTTTGTTTTGTCACAAGTTTCCTTTCATTTATCAGATTTTCAAGAAATACAGAGTGTGAAAGAATATAATCAAGAGTACACACATGTTCATCTCTTATGGCTATTGGTTTTTAGCCTTGTGAAAAGCATGTTTTGTCACAGACACATGCGCATGTGCGTGCACACACACACACAAAGTCAAGCATATACTAGCCATATTTTTGGGCCTTGGAAAAGGAATTTACAGACACTATGACACCATGACACAATATACCTGAGTTTTCACTGGCCATTACTGAAAAAAATAAGCATGTTCTCTTACATAAGCATGTCTCAGTCTGTGCCGTCTCACACATTGCATTGACATATTCTGTTATGTTAAAATTGCAGGAGATAAATTTGTACAAGTGTTTAAGTGCCTGAACTTACTTACCAGGCCAAGGTCAACTGATATGACTGTGAAGAATTAAATCAGGCTGGTTGGAGGGGCCACAGCACAACTGAGGCTATGACAGTTTTATTGAGAGCAATCAGAATTTTTAAACCTTTATCAGAAACAGAATATAATGGTAATTGCAGTTGCCAGGATATAGTGAAATTTGCAAGTCATACAGGACACACAAAATTAGTCTAAGACCAACTGTCCTGTCAAGCTTCCATGCTTCCTTGACTTCTAAGAATGCACAGAGAACCACAAAGTGGCCTGGACGCATCAGTGCCTGAGGGAGTGCAGCAGTCTCCCAGGAACTGGAAGGCACACTGTGCCCCAGGAGCCATGGACTCTAACTTGAAAAACCTATGATGCATGCCTCTCAAGGCAGTAAGACCAAGCCAGCTCCGTGGTTCCTTGTGTAACTGACCGTGTTCTGAACGTTCAGTCCTCGAGTTACCTGTAGGATAAAGGATTTGAGTGTGATCAGTATATGCACTGTGACAAGATGTCACAGCAGATGCCTAGTTCTTGCTTCTTCCTATACCATCAGGCTGTTTTACTCTTGGTTATAATATGATATTGACAACTAGATCTTTCCTTTGGGGAGTTGGAAGTAACTTGTGGGTTAATCCTCTGCTTCTGAAGATTAACCTAATGCTCACACATTTTACACTGTGACTGAGCATATACTGCTGAGCTTGCAAGAATCAGTAATTAGAATGAGAGCTTACAAAACAGCTTTTCTATAATTCTTCCTTTTTTAAGCTGCCTTTTGTGTGTAGTAGAGATACCTCCAAGACCCAGTCTCTTTCTCCCTCCTTTCTTCTCTCCTACCCTCTCTCTTCTCCTACTCTTCCTAACCTTCTCTCCCCATCAAATTCCCCTGCAACTCTGTTTCTGTGGAAATTTCATGTGAATATTTGACCATCATTCTTCTTAAGTGTTCAAATTGTTCAGAATTTGACCACTCTGAACTAACTTAAACCTGAGATTTTTGTAACTGAATCGCTGAGTATTCAAAGACTTCAGAATCATTTAATTCTCAGGTCTTCCCACCTCTCTTTACTGAAGCTGCCTCTCTTTTTTCCAGTTATTTCTCTGGTTCCAAAGAGCACTCCACCAATTTCCTTGTCTCTTTGTAGCAATGTTGTGGAGTGACTGGAAGCTGAATCCTTTATGTCAGTGAGTATAATAGAAATGATAAAACATTCAGCATCAATTTTACATCTTTCTGTGCCCCACAGTATTAGCAGATTTTGTAAATTAGATGTCACTCTATAGCCTCCATACCAAGTGACTTAATCCTTACAGTGCCTCTGTGAAACAGGTACAGTCATTGGATAACAATTACTGTCATTCTCTCAAGCTAATCAGGGTAGTGTATGCATCTGCACCCAGACACTGGATTCCAGACTCTGCATTCTCACCTGCTACCACACTGTGTTGCTTGCAGGCACCACTCCACTCTGAGAGCTCTGGCATTGCTGGTCTCACCAGCTTGGAGAAAGTAAATTATCATGCTGCATGCTGCAGTCTTATTTTCTTATAACTAGACCTCATAAATGTTCTTATCATCCCACAGGCTTGCTAAAATGAAACTGGATCTCTTTGTGTACTAGGCAGGATTCTTTAGAAGAGCATCAGTGTTAGACTGAATTATATATATATTACAGGGAGATTTATTAGAATGCCTTATACAATACAGTTCAGATAGCCCAACAATGGCTGACTCACACGAAAGAGGCTGAGAACACAGTAGGTGCTCAGTCCATGAGGTTGAGCATTCCTGTGGTCTCAGTCCATCACTGAAAGCCTAGACAACTCCTGAAGAGTAACTTGTTGTAATACTGACTTTTCCTAAGGAGATGAAATACAGAATCTACTCACCTCAGTTAGGGAGACCATAAAGATATCAGCAAAATCCAATTTAGTGAACCAATGAGTTTTAACAGTTTTACTTACAGGTTTGAGGGTGAGAGATCACTTGTAGGTGCAAAAATGACTCACAGACAGCTGCACCACCAAAGCTCATCCCAGCATGGGTGAGAGCTCACAAATGCTAGGAACTTGGAGTGCACTGCACAGCCTGCAGGCAGCTTACGAGGTTGTAGAGTGTCCTTTTGTGGTGGCTCACTTGGTCTGAGCCTCTTCAAGGCAGCTCAGCTGGTCTTTGTCTCTAGACAATTCTGTGGCCTTTGCTTCTTCCAGGTAACTGGACTTGTCTAAGCATCTCCTCTCAGCAGTCTTCACTATTTGTATACCTTTGGTAATGGAGGGGCCTAGTGAATCTGATCAGTTTCGGGAACTTCCTGAAGACATTTGAGCTGTTTAATTCCTGTCCTAGAGAGCTTTCCTGCAGTACTTCATCTCCCCTTAGAATACTGTTACTTCGCTTTCTTATGAAAATGCTCTCCTAAGACATTTCCCTTCAAGACAGAAAGTTTTAATCTCAGAGGAAACTACTACACAAGACTGGCCTATAGTCCATATTAGAAATCAAAGAAACTCGGTTCTGGTATTAGCAAAGAAATACAGCAGCTGCCGCAGAGTTGATAAACTTTCTAGCAAGAGTGGAGTGATCAGGCAAAAAACAAAGCTCTCTTCTTCTTGCATTACTTTTATCTGGGCTGCCAATGGAGGCTGAGGTTCACATGAGGGTCAGTTTTGTTTTTGTTTTCGTTTATCTTTTTTTAATTTAAGTTAGAAACAAGCTTGGTGCATATGTCAATCCTAGTTCCCTCTCCCTCCCCTGCCCTCCCCACCAGGTCTCCCAGTCCCCCACCCAATCTTCACTCTGATCCCCAGGGAGGGTGAGGCCCCCCCCATGGTGGATCTCCAGTGACTATCATTTCATCCAGGGCAGGGGCCCTCCCCCAAGAGTTCTGGCTGAGAGAGCATCCCACATTGTGTCATGGGCGCTCAAAATCTATTTGTACGCCAGGGATAAATACTATCCAAGGCCTCATAGATTGCCTAGGCCTCCTCATTGACACCCACATTCAGGGGGTCTGGGTCAGTCTCACGCTTTCCTCACAGTCATCAATCTGGGGTCCAAGAGCTCCCCCTAATTCAGGTCAACTGTGTCTTAACTCCTTCACCCATCACACTTCAATTAACTTGTGGAAGAAATTGCCTCACAGGTGGCCCAGCAGATTGCCTTTTGGGTGATTTCTGATTCAGTCGCCATTCAAGATTAACCCTCACATCTTGTAATAGAAGTTTTAAGTGAGTAACAACTGTGTCACAACAAAATTGGCATTATAGTGCTGTTTTTTCAATTTGTATTTATTCTCATTTATTAATTGCACTACTAAATATTAAAGCCAGGGCCTTATGCATGCTTAGCACATGTGTTACCAGTGAGTTGTGTGCCCAGCAGTGACTTTGCTTTTTACCATATGTCCATTGGACAAAATAATGTTTCACTATGAAATTTTTACAAATCTATATCATTTACATTGATTGTACTTATTCCCCCATCATCCTCACCTGGCAGACTGTGTTTGAAAAATTAAATGTCTTCCCGAGCTTAACTACCTTAGTGAAGTAAACCTATGAATAATGAAAAATACAATGGCTAAATAATTTAGGAAAGGAAGTTATCAGCTGGTATGTGATTGAGGACATGTTCAAGCATTTGAGTGCAGATATGAACTTGGCACTTTTAAAGCAGAGAAGGAGTTCATAATTGCTGATAAGAACTTACCAGAGAAGACATTGGTAAGAAGTTCATTTGGAGGAAAAGACAAAAGTGAAACTTCTGTACAGTTCTGTGTGTCAGGTAAGAACTGTTAGAAAATCAGTGAAGGTCAGTGGATACAGAGCTAAATTGTCTGATTTGCATTTTAAAAGCCCAGGATGGCCTCCATATAGAAAATGGATATCAGAGAGATGAGAGAAGTAGAGAATTGAGTTAGGAGGCTATTATAGTTGTCCTGGACCAGGGAAGAACAAAGCCAGTTGGAGGAACAATCAGATTCATAATGTACACTGAGTATGGAGGCTGCAGAATACAGCATCAGACAAGAAATAACGATTGGGGGAAGAGGAATAAAAAAATAAAGAACTGTAATCAGATGGATATTGATGTCATAACTGAATAACAGAGTTCTTACGCAGCTCGTGTTGACTTTAAAATGAACATTAGACATCCATGTGGAGAAAACTAATGAATACATCATGAAAACAAAGCTGCTTACCAATGAGATTTCTCCCAACCTGTACAGAGAACAAAGCATGCTGGGCTAGCAGTGACCTCCCAAATAGCCCAACTATTAGACAGTGGTGTGAGAAGTCGGGCTCTTGTCAGGTGAGCTTGGTTAAAAACAACAGCAATTGCTTGCAGTTCGTTCCATAAAATACCGTCCTTGAGTTTAGCAAACCAAATGTAAAAACTTAAATTTTTGTCTCACATTCATCAGTATCCCCTGAGAACATTGACTCAGGGTTGATGCAGTAAATGTCAAACCCTTTTGACAATGGCTTCTGTTAAGAAATAAACTTTAGGGGGCCGGAGGGATGGGTCAGAGGTTAAGAGAACTGACGTCTCTTCTAGAGGTCCTGAGTTCAATTTCCAGAAACCACATGGTGGCTCACAACCATCTGCAATGAGACCCTCTTCCCTCTTCTGTTGTGCAAGCATACATGCAGGCAGAATAGTGTATAAGTAATAAATAAGTGAAATCATTTCTTTAAAAAAAGAAATAAACTTTATGTGACAACCTAGTCACCTGTGTAAATTTATATGTAATCACAGAAGAAATTCCAACAAACAGCCTGTGTAGTGAATTCTATCCTCCTACCTATGTTAATGGACAGTCCCACCACACTGATTTAATGCTTGCCTGAAGGTCATAGATCTCCATATGGAAAATCCCAGCTAGGTGCATCTTAATTGCTCACTACTTCCTAGGAAGAAATTCTGCTCAAGGAAACTAAAAAGGGCACTTTTGTCATCCCTAATTTCAGAAGGACTACCCCATTGAAAATCATAATACAAACAAATTGAAGATCAAATGTTATAAATGGTATATAAAATCAGGTCCATTTTAACACTTAAGATAATTGTATATGTGCATATATATATATATATATATACACATCCAGGCTTCCTTATGTATAGGTGCTGCAAACTTTGGATTAAAAATACATGAAAAAATTCATCTGTACTAAGCATAGATAAACTGGTTTTTTTTTTTGTCATTATTCTCCAAATAGTTTAGTCTCACAACTATTTACATAAGATTAGGTATCAAAAGTAACACAGGGATAGTATAAACTATACATGAAATACTGCACTTGTATATATAAATAAGCAAGGTCAACACCTGAGAATGGTGTCATGAGAAGGCCTTGAACCAAAGCCTTGTGGGTACTAAGGGATAACTATAAGGATTTAACAGCAGAAGCTACCTTGGCAGGTTGGAGCCAAGGGGCATCACCAAGTAGCACCATTCAACAGAGCTCCCATGAGAGGTTTATTGGGGGTGGAGGGGCTCAGAGGCGGCCGCTGAGCAAGGGTGAGGGGAAGAAATAACGTGAGGAAAGAAGCCGCTAGCTTTTTCCGAGGTCGGCCATTTTTATTTTATTGCTGTTGCTGTTAATAAAGCCCATTTCCATACAATCCAGCATGCCTGTATTCAGACCCAGAAAGCATAAAATTGTGCCAGGTTACCAACAAGATTGGGCTAAGTTACTCTAAATTTGAGTTTGAACAGTTCGCAAAAATAGAAGGCCATTTGTTAAAAGACTGAGCATCAGGTAGATCTTGGAAATATACCATAGGTCAAAGGACACATGTTGTTTGTGTATAACTTCAGTCTGCTCCCCATTTTCTCCTGTCTCTCAGCCTCTCTGCATCAGCATGACGCCCAATTTTCACAGATGATCCCACCACAATTAGAAACACTACCAGGAGCCAGCCACGTAGGGAATTTCTTGTTTTCTTATCTAACAAAATTTTGAGATTTTATTTTAAAACAAAACACCTGAAAGTGGGGCAATGGCATCTGTGGGTAGGAGAGAGTCTCCACTTTCCCCAGATAAAATATAAAATTCTAAAATACATTTTTGGCAGGTGCTTTTCCCCTCAGGTCCTGACAACAAATGAATGAAAATATTAATGAGGGAAGATCTGGGCCAGGTGGAGAGTGAATGCAGATTCGCATCCCAATCATGAACTACGGAATGAATTGTTTCATTATTACATGACAATTTGCTGTATCATGTTGCATTTTCCGGTGTCTTTTTTTTTTCTTTTTTCTCTACAGGTGATGTGCTGACATTCCTAGACTCTCACGTGGAATGCAATGTGGGCTGGTTGGAGCCGCTCCTGGAAAGAGTTTATTTAAGTAGGAAGAAAGTGGCCTGCCCAGTCATCGAAGTCATCAATGACAAGGACATGAGGTAGCACTGCCACATCTTGACATTGAAAAGCAGCAGAGAGTGCTGGTGCTCATGTGCGTTGTGCTATAAGCAAGGAAGCACGGCCTTCTTATCCAAGTAGGGGAAAACTCACGAGACATAGCTTGGGATCAGAGCCTATCAGTTCACCAGCCTATTTGGCCAGTACACCATTTTTTTTCCTGTTGAGAAATCAAACTGCTCATTATCAAATTCATCCCCTTTGATAGTCAGTTGAACTCCAAAATATTTATTTTTCTCAGGTTTCTAGTCATACTCTTTTAAGAAACTCTGAATGTTCTCAGAAGTTATCATTTCTTCCTCTAAAATGGCCATTTTAAGAGTGAGAAATGAGTATAAGTTGAAAACAAGCAATCAAACCAGGTAAGCACCCGTGCAAGTCATACCCGTAAGCTCCTCTGAACAGATACTAAGAGGTGGTTGTGTAGAATCACGTGTATTACGATCCACCCCACACCTGAACCTGACGTGAAGCTGTGTTAGTGAATTTCACAGAAATCACAGGTAAGCTTAGCATTTGAGATTTCATTTGTTTTGTTTGTCCTGCATTAGTTACATGACAGTGGACAACTTCCAAAGAGGTGTCTTCACATGGCCCATGAACTTTGGCTGGAGAACAATTCCTCCAGATATTGTTGCAAAAACTGGAATTAAAGAGACTGACATAATAAGGTAAGTGTGTGGAGCTGAAAACTAGACAGCAGTTCAAAGTTCTTTTGTAAAGACAGAAAATGTTTTTTAAAAAGTTATACTCTATCTTCTGGAAAGCAGCAAGATTTATAGGTATCAGCTAGATATGATGGTAATCTAGACATACCTGTAATCTCCGTACTTAGGAGGCAGAAGCAGGAGGGTAGCATGTTTAAAGGTAGCCTAGACTACAATAGTGAACACACCTGTCAAAAAATTGGAATTACATAAACGTCCTTATCAAAGTTAGCAAAGTTTCCTGAGAAGTTATTTTGCTACTTTCTACCCCAAATTAAATTTGAAATGCACCCAATTTAACCCTGATACTGTAAGCTGTGATAACTTAGAACATAATTGACAGATAAGAATCCTAGCCCCCCACATCTTCTCAGATTCTAAGTTCAGCCCTAGTGAATCAGAAACTTTTCACTAACGTCAAGCTGCAAGCTCCATCCCAAGACCTCCATGAACCTATCCAGAAATGCCTCCAACCCTCCACACACACACACACAGAGGACCCACTGTAGAAGTTAAGTTACCATGACACAAAAGTATAACACAATTCTTTCTTTTTGTAGATGCCCAGTCATGGCAGGTGGATTATTTTCCATTGATAAAAGTTACTTTTACGAACTTGGAACTTATGACCCTGGTCTGGATGTTTGGGGAGGAGAAAATATGGAGCTGTCATTCAAGGTATTCACTACTGTTTCTTTTCTTTCTTTTTTACAGTTAAAAATTCATCATTCCAGGGGCAGGGCAGATAACTCAGTTGCTAAAGAGATTGGTACACAAACATGAGAGCCTGAGTTCAGATGTCATGTAGAGAGGCAAGTACAGTAACATGTATCTGTAATTGTAGCTACTCTTATTCAGTCAGTGAGTTCCACTTTTAGTGAGAGAAACTGTCTCAAAAGTTAAGGAGCAGAACAATTGAGGAAGACACCTTCTGTTGACCTCTGATCTAAGGATACATATGAACACTCTTTCAGAAGCACCACAATATATAGACACAAAACTACACATAAGTGTTTGTTATTCCCAAGTGGCTTCACTTTACCAATGCAATCACTTATGTGACTGCAACTGAAAAGAAACTTCACCATGGCACAGTTTCTATGGATTGAGTGTTTCATATCCCAGACTTAATTTGGGAGAATCAACCACTGTTGCAAAACTATTAGAATTAATATTTCACAACAGTGTTTCTATGTCTAATTATGGGGAAGTCACTTTCTTTTTTCTGCACAAAAGCTATGGAATTCATACTTACTACAAATTACTTTGGAATTCATCTGTGACATACAGTTACTCTCTTGGAATAGCTCTATAATGCATTGGAAGCAGTGCAAATATCTGCAAAGGGGTTATCTTGAGAATACAAATGACAAAAAAATCCCTCCAATGCAGTCCACCAGCAAGCCAAGTGTGTGGTACAGTGTAGCATCTTTTGAGACTGCATGCAGTGACTTAGTCATCATTGACTCATCCTCAATAAAGCCTTAGAAAGAACAATAGAACACCAATACCATCTTCCTTATGTGACTGGCTAGTCTGTGTTCAAATGGGTATAAGTTTGGTGGTCCTGGCCAAGAAAAGTTTTAAGTTGGGTACCACAAACCTATAGGTCTTCCAAATGGACATCTGTGACTTCTCCCTGATCCAACCCAAATAGGAACATATGTGACATATTGTATATATTGGCATTCTACAAAGAGTTCTTTAGAAAAGAGGTAAAGAGAAATTTTATATAGATGGTTTGGAAGGGGAAATGAAAGTGGGTCACCACACATGAGACTAAATACACTTACTTAGTTTTCTTTTCTATTGCAAAATTGTTCCTAAGTTGAATGTACTACTTTTTAGCAGAATGTCTCCAGGTAGTATCATGACATTTTTACTTGCCTATGATTTGTGAATGACCATTTGATAAATGGTGCTTTTCATGGACTCTTTCTCAGGTCTGGATGTGTGGTGGTGAAATCGAGATCATTCCCTGCTCCAGAGTGGGCCACATATTCCGAAATGACAATCCATATTCCTTCCCCAAAGACCGCATGAAGACAGTGGAACGGAATCTGGTGCGGGTGGCTGAGGTCTGGCTTGATGAGTACAAAGAACTCTTCTATGGCCATGGGGATCACCTCATAGACCAAGGGTTGGATGTGGGCAACCTCACCCAACAAAGGGAGTTGCGGAAGAGACTGAAATGCAAAAGTTTCAAGTGGTACTTGGACAATGTCTTTCCTGACCTGAAGGCTCCCGTTGTGAGAGCTAGTGGGGTGGTAAGTTAATGTATCACTTAAAATCTTCCTTTACAAAAACAACACATAAACTCTTTCAAACGTGCTTAGAAAAGAATGAAGTAATATACTTTAAGCAACAAGCATGAATGCCACTGAGAAAAAGTTTAAAGGGGAGTTTTTAGAAGTCTAACATGTGGTGGTCATGCTGACTGATAACTAAGTATGACTTCAGGATATAGGTGTCATCTCTTCCTTTGGAAGTTGCCACTGAATGGAGGACAGGAACAATAGATAAGTGAAGTATGAATATAGAATGTGATGGTTCTTCTAAAGCAACAAGCTAGGAGTGCTGACTCCTTTGAAATGCAGGCTATCAAGAAATTCTCTCAGAAGACTTGAAGCCAGGACTGAGGCACAGTGCTGAACCCAGCCCTGAGGTGGAGATTCAGCTCCTATGCAACACAGGGCAGGCTGGAGGCAGCCAAGACATGGAGAGGTATTGTCAGGGTACGAATGAAGAAATGTAGGTGGAGAATTGTAGGCAGAGAATCGAGAGTTGTTTGGTGTGGGTCCTTGGGGGTAGTTCTCTTCCTTTACTTCCTTCTTTCATCCATGGGGTTAGCCAATGGAAATGCCAGTTTTAAGTTGGGTTTTTTTAAAAGTTCCATTGAGAGGTTAAAAATAATAAAAACATTCAAGGCACTAAGGGAGGTCTCACAAAAGACAAATAGTTTGAATGTGGCCTCGTGCAAGAAACTTTGAGAAGTTGAGACCCTGGGACAAAACCTTGAGTCCACCCAGGAGTGCAGCTTCCTGTGGTGGCCTCTGATTGGAGCTCATTCTTATATTTGTGCTTAGTCTCTTATACTGTTTTTCATATTTATTTATGTTATTTCTACTCGTAGGCTCTGCCCCTTTGTGTTTAGGAAGATCTCTAACTTGCCTGTCAGTATGTCTGCTTTTTCAGAACATCCATCTCTGGATCTTCCTAGGAAACAGATTAGAAATCAGTCCCTCTCCCAGCCTGCCATATCCCCAGATAACAAAGACTTAATAAACACGATGCTGTTATCCTCACAAGGGAAATCAAAGGAAGGTAACAAAAACAGGAAAGTAGTCTGGACATTTGTTCTGTTTTTATAAAATTTAAACAATAAATACACTGGACCTGGTTTGTATGTAGCCAAGTGTTGTGGATAGTTCAGAGGAGTACAGCAGGATTTGGGGTAGGTTAAAGCATATCTCAGATACTTTATATAACTAACCAGGAAAAGAGCCTTGGCTTTAGACACATTAAACATACCACTGGCATATTTAATTTCCATCCTCCCAACAAGGGTGGCCAATGAAGGACCTGTGAATTTCTGTCGAGAATCTCAGCAGCAGCATTACTGAACTTTAACCACCAGATGGCGGAATGAAACAACCTTTGGAGTCCTCTGTTGGTTTTCACTATCTTTTGCACAGCTCTCCAAAAAAAGCAAAACAAAACACACACACACACACGCACACACACACACACACACACACGCACGCACAAATGCCTGCCCAGTAATATATCAAAATGCTGCACATACATTTCAAAGTGACCTCACCGAACCCTTTTCTTCCACTTCCATTCTTTGCTGCCTCATATAAACGTCACTGAGTTTCGTTTTCTCTGATTAATACCAAATATAATTCAATAGACCATGATAATCAGGAAAAGTTGCAAGAACACAGAATCCTTTTTTTTCTTGCTTCATATTTTCTCATCATTCAACCTTCACACTAGAAATTTAAGTCCAATGAGAGTTTTTTATTGTAGGTAATTTCTCATTGTCAATAATATTTACAGTCAATAAATAGTCTCAACAATAGTTTTTTTCCCTTAGCAAACAGCCTATACCTAAGATTTAACAATTATGTAATTAAATGTGGGAGATATCCACCTTTGACATTGAGAAAATGAAATAATTCAAAACAGAAAGTATAAAATCTACTCAATACTTTATGATTAATAATTATTATTATTACATAGAAATGGTTTGCATGAAGGACTCAGGAGGAGAAATTTTTGCTCATGCTCCAGTGTCTTCCAATACCTGCAGGAAGGAACTGTTTGAAACAACACAAAATGAAGCAACATAATAAAATAACAACAAGAAAATCATCTAAACTAATCTTTACCAAATACTATCTGGGTAATGTTAGTTGTAGACCTGAGAAAGGAAACACTGTATGCCTTGAGTACATGCTGTATGCCCTCACATGGAAGACTCTGAGAAGTTCCAGGGGAAGGCAACTGTCTCAGCTGTGCTGGAACCAGAGTTTTCCAAGCGTATTTTATGGTGGGATAATTTCTGAGTGATGTGCTGTTTGTGTTTTAACAGAGATCTGTCCCTCTAGAATTGCTTTGTGTGCCCCATACTCGCCCGCGCTTCCCCCTCCTCCATCAGACAACTTAGAAATAACCGACCAGTAAAACCACGGATGTTTGTTTATATTCCTTGAAGGTCATCAAGGATTCCTAGCTCAAGCATGTAGGGTATATTTTTATTTCAAATCCAAATGTGGCTTCAGATCCTCAGAGAGAACCTAGAAGCTTTGTTTTTTCCCTGTTGTAGTACACACACTCTTTTTCCTAGGATCCGCTGGCCACAGGTCAGTTTAGGTTTTCCCAACTCTCTGACTAGTACATCTCTATATCTCATACACTCTGCATGTTTCTGTGAGGGCATTCTTCCTACTTAACAGACTACAGTTATCCTTCTACTGCTTCCTTCTGAATTATCTGCCTCACAACTTCTCCCTATGTATTTCAAGCTGAGGCACGCATTCACAAGAAGACACCAACCCACTGCAGAGTCTGCTACAAACTCTGGTGATCCTGTGGCCAACACGGCCTCCATTGTTACAGTACCCCACAACAGGGGCCCCATAAAAACTGAAGAAACACAAACATCATCACCACCTCTCAAGTTTAGCAGGTTTCCATGGAACACATATAATTTCTCCTCTTCACAGCACCTCCAGCAAATTGAAAAGCCTGCATTGCATTATTAACCTACCGTCCTGTTAGCCCTGCCCTGTATGTCAGAGTCGAGGCAATCATCAGTCTCTGAATTAGACGGTGACTGGAAGTTTCCTCCATATTTGACCCTGTAAATTCATCCAAATCCTGAGTCTGCCAGGAAAGTCCTTTATGCTTGGCTCTGTTATAGCTTTCCGTGATTTCCCTGTAATGAGTTGTAGCTTGAGTGAGTCATTAGAAAGAGTGTGACAGGGAATCGGTTGGCTAGAGTATGATGTTCTCTGAAGGATTCAATTTATCTAGGAGTCAGTGCCTAAGCAAACAGATCACTTAGCAGGGTGTGCTGAGGAACATAGCCCGTGACTCTTGGCTTGATGATGTTGGAGGTGTGTGCACTGACTTTAAAAATATACATTCAAGCTGAAAAAAATATCCCTGTCTTCCTATACCACCTTTTCCTATATCAACATTTGCTCTCTTTCATTCAGCATTCCAGGAAAGAGTTAATAAGAAGCGAATGTTCATTGCCACTGTGGCTGAATCACAGGCTTAAGTTGACAGATTGAAGCTGTGCAGTGACAGAATCACTGTGTCTCTTCTAGAGCTGTGACCAAGACAGGCATCTACTGCAAACTTTGGCTAATCTGTTATCTATTAACCTTATTGCTGTATATCCACTATTTTCTAAATGTGTCTGAATGCTTTGTTATACAATAAGATGTATTTGTTCTTAATGAACATTTTGTATTCTGTTTCTTAGCTTGTTAATGTGGCCTTGGGCAAGTGTATTTCCATTGAAAATACCACAGCCACACTGGAAGACTGTGATGGGAGCAGCCAGGTAGGTTCAGCCTGGGTTCTCTGTCTCTCAGTAGTTAGTGGAAAGGAATGACTGACATGCTGTTGTTCCCTTGACAATTGACCTCTGTCCAGGAGAAACCACAGATCTCTAAATGTCAATGTAATCAATGGTCTAGTGTAAGGAAGTGCCACTAAACAGAGAAGCAACATAAGGTGTGGGGGAGGGGGGGACTGTTGACAATGAAGCCATTGCTCCATAATGGATTTAGTCTTGTGTTGCAAAACTAGTTTTAACTTACACAAAGTCTTGCAAGTGGCAGTGAAGATAATGCTTATCTCTAAAGCGGAAATGAATTGGCAACACTCTAGGGCCTGGTAAGCACCACCTAATGCTTGGTACTCTGTAAATGATGGTTATAGTGATGAAGATAAAATGCCTACTGTATGGCTGATGAGATGACTCAGTGGGTCAAGGTGTTTGCTACATAAACCTGTCAATGTGAGTTCAATCCCTGAAGTACTCATGAAGGTGTACAGAAAGAATTACATCCACATTACTCCTCTGACCTCTACAAAGCATCTGTGACATGGATGCCTACATATATGTAGCACACATGCACACAACAACAATAGTTAAATTTACCCAGGTGGTGGTGATACATGCCTTTAATATCAACACTTGGGAGGTAGAGACAGACAAATCTTTGTGAGTTTGAAGTCAGCCTGGTCTACAGAGCTAATTCCAGAACAGCTAGGACTGTTACACAGAGAAACCCAGTCTTGAAACCCCACAAATAAATATATGGATGACAGATAGATAGATAGATAGATAGATAGATAGATAGATAGATAGAATTTAGAGTTTATCAAAAGGTAAAGTAGAAACCATGTTTCCAAGCAGCCACCCTGAGGAACCCAATTTTTTCTCTAATTACATTCCTCTCCCAACTTCTTCCTCCCTCTGATATCTTAAGGGACTGATGGATATACCCTAAACTATAATCCTTGTCAACATAACCATAAAATCAGAGAATGGTGGATAGGAGAGGGAGTGGGGCCAGGAAAATGCCTCTGCCATGCTCAGGTGAACTCCAAGTGATTACATCTCCCTCTCCAGCATCTGCACTCCAAATGGGAATGGTATCTGCTTTGGATGCTGAATAGGACTCACAGGAAACCTGATTCATGTGCACAAACAGCCTCCAGATTTCAGATCACTCTTTGATAGACAGATCATTTTGCGATGATGGCCTCAGCTTGCTGTCTAACTTCTTTGACCTGATTTAAGCATTGTGGCTTATACTTTCCAGTGCATCCCATTTCTATATCTTAGTCCCAAGCTGCCCCTAGAATAGAAAACAGATCTGTCAGTGTAATTCTTCTGTGGATTGTGACTCAGAAGCCAAGAGAACATTTTTACAATTAGGAAAGAGATGAGATGATAAATTTAAGGACTCAACCGAAAGAAATGACTTTCGCTTGTTAACAATTCACAGTGGAGATAGTCATAAATTATAGAAAAAAACAACTTCAGAGTTGTCTAAAATATATGAAAATGTTCAATAATCTACTTTTGTAGAACTATCACTGGAGGAAATTAGCATACCTGTAAAATCAGTATTTCACCAGAAACTCAAACATGAATACCAATGAATACAATGTTCCTTTTGGGTTTCTCTCACTAGTGGTTTGTTTGGATGATGACAAGGATGGAAATGTTGAGGAAGTTAATTTGGTACGGGCATAACTGATAAGGTTTATTACCTGACTTGTATTCATCTAGAACACTCAGAGGAAATGAAATGGTTATCTTCACCCTCAATCCCTGTCCCTTACTTTAGCTAGAAGTCTTAGGTTTTTACTTTTAAACCCTTTCTAAGGTGTTATTCACCTTATCTTAGTCCCTGCATGGCCTCCTATTTTGTTGTCTGTCCTTGGTTCACAGAGACTGATACTCCTACAAATCACCTTGGGAGTTTGTTAGGGTAGACTTTGACTCACAGGGTCCATGATGGAACCAAGATCCAGCATTTCTGGGTGACACAATATTGGTTCAGGGACTACACTTTGAGTGACAAGATTTGCCACCATTTCTTTAATATAACCTTACAATCTAAATTAAATCCCAATTTAAAGCCAGGCATGGTGACACAGCCCTGTAATTCTAGATGTCAGGGAAGATGAGGCAAGAGAACCACAATTTCAGTGCTCTCAGGGCCTACAGACCTAAACACCTGAAAATCATTACTGAAGCACACGTAACAGTGAGAAATATGACAGTGGACAGGTTAAATAATACACACACTCATGCAATTAGGGAACCCATGGTCTCACCTATTGCCAATAAAAGTCATTGGCAAATCCCCTGCCTCTGCCTGCTATCTGAATGACCTTTCCTGTGCCCATTCTCTACAGCTTCAACAGTTTAATTATACCTGGGTAAGACTTATTAAGCACGGAGACTGGTGCATGGCAGCCATCCCTGATAATGCATCCCTGCGATTCCACCCATGTGATAACAGAGACAACAGGCTCAAGTGGCTGCACAAATCAACATCAGGCTTTCATCCAGAACTGGTAAGCAACAGATTTATGCCATCCCTTTACCACAGAGTCAACGTTCAGTCAAAGGGGACGTAAAACTTTGATTATCAGCCAGTTCAGTCAGAGGCCTTAAGTGCTGTTTGTTACAATAGAGGCAGTATGAAGGTTCACTCAGGGACATAGAGAGAATTTCTGTGAATCTTTAATGCTTTGTATTTAATTTTTGGTTTTGTTTGCTTTTTTTCAAAATTGATTTCAAACCAGTGATTTAAATCAAAGACAACCATTTCTTCCTATTATATTGGTATCATGATGTTAGCATCTAAAATTCCTTTTCATCAGTTAGCAATGCCATGTGCATTGTTGAAACTTATTTTCATTGGTTACCAGAAGAGCCTAGAGGTGGAATCCATGGAAAAATCAAGAAGCTACATGCTTACTGCAAGTGCTGTCCTGGAACTCACTCTGTAAACCAGATTGGCCTAGAACTCACAGACCTCTGTCTGTCTTTGCCTCTAAGTGCCAGGATTAAAGTCATGAGCCACCACCACCAGGCTGAATATTTTAATTTTAGGCGAAACTGCTTTTTACTGATAAGGATTATTATTGTAAGTTGATACTGCCAAATAGAGAATTATTAGGATATAAACTTTTTTTATTTGTTACACTTTTGGGGAAGTTTTGTAAATATCAACTAAAGTATATCACACCTCCTAGTTCTTTAACACTACACTGAATGTGGGGAAGAAAGGACAGGAAGAAAGACAATGGAGATCAAAACATCTCTTATCTGCAGAAGTGAATAATTAGAAAGGATACAAAGCAAACAAGTGTATAAGGGTAGGTCTTCCCCAGTAAGTGAACTTGGAAAAGTTAATTAACTAAGATAACAAGAAACTAGAAATCTGTCTGTGATGTGTTTACATAGCCTTCTACCTTCCAGTCTCCTTGTGATGGGTGTGTCTAGATGGTCACAGACGTGGATAGCCTATACTGATTTTCTTTCTGTCTCTTTCTCTCTCTTTTTCTTTTTTCTTTTGACAGTTCTCATATAAATCCTCTTAAGTCCCTGGATTTACTGATTATCACTTCAGAAAAAGACGTTAAACCAACAGCTCTCAACTTGTGGGTCTCAACCCTTTGAACCTTAGGCCATCAGAAAACACAAATATTTACATTATGATTCATAACAGTAGCAAAATCACAGTTATCAAGTAGCAACGGAAATAATTTTAAGGCTGGGGTCACCACAGCATGAGGAACTGTATTAAAGGGACACAGGATTAGGAAGTTGGGAAACCACTGTCTTAGACAATTTAGAGGTCTAAATCCATCATAGGTTGGCCTTGTTGTTTGGGGCCTTTGGTGAGGAAAGAGCACAGGTTTGAACATGGCTCACTTCATGGACAGGGAGTAAAGGGGAGTAGAAAGAAGATCACACAGTCCTTATCACAGACATTTTACAGTAACCTATGGGTCTCCCACTAAGCCTCACCTCTCAAAGATTTCACCATCCCCTTGTACTCTGGGGATTAGCGTTTGACTCTAGATAACAATGACATACTGTTAAATTTGCATTGTAAAGTGCTCCCTAAATCAGTCCTCTGCTGATAGGACTTTGCCTCTCAGATGGGGAGGAAGTGATTTAGTCACCTCTGTCATTCACCACAGAACATTGGTTTGCTTCTAGGCCACCTACTTTGCATGATCTTAAATATGCAAGCATCATATTTCCAAGATTCTGTAAGGGTCATAATATTAATTTAGCATGGAAGTCTCCCCTGTTTGGTTAAAAAATAAGTATATTAAAATAGCTCATTGATAACTAAAATAATCATGGTTATTTCTATAGCAAATTTAGATTTATGATTAAAAATTATAAAGCCATGCTTGGTTCTAAGTAGATTATCTCTCACTTTTAATAAATAATGAACAACATTAAGGTCATCTGAAGTACCTTTGTCTTGTTTTAACTAAATGTGGATATTTGGAATTCTATATTTTAAGAAATTAGGTAGGATGATCACAAATTAAATGTGTCTTTTCTAGCATTTGCTAATAAATTAGCAAGCTTGCTTCCTGTCATACTACATAATTTTTGTTTTGCCGTCATCAGTGAAGTAGTCCCCCAATGTATTAAGTGCCAACTGGATTTTTTTTCCTTTAAATAATATAGTTATCAACCATATCACTAGAAAAAAATGACTGTTTTCTTCCTGCAGAATTAAAGTCTTAAAGCTAGAGAAGCTAGATCAATTAATTTGAGACAGAGACAAATTTGATGTTTTCCAAACCTTGTGCTTATGTCACTAATTTAATTCAGAGTTCCTGGGGGAATGAAAATAGAATTTGCTTATTATATTTTCGTATGTCAAGTTTAGTCACTAGCTCATTCCCATATCCTCTTTGTCTTCAGGTGGATCACATTGTTTTTGAAAACTATCAGCAATTGTTGTGTATGGAAGGGGATTTTTCTAAGAAGAGCCTGAAAGTGGCTGTTTGTAACCCAATGAAAACATCCCAAAAGTGGAAATTTGAAAGATACTATGAAGGATAAAGAGGAATGTTTTATCTGATTAACCCACCAGACTCTGTGAAAATAAGACCAACGTTGGTGACTATATTTCTCTCCGTGGTAGTTTAAATTTTCCATTTTTATAGCATTTAAGTGGAAGATTTTTTTAAAGCACCAAATAATAACTCAGGGAAACAGGCCACACTGGACTGGGATTCTTCAGCTATGTGTGGGCTTGGAAGTGTCAGTGTCCTTGCCCTGTGCTGTAGTGCAAGTCTTCCTTGGGTACTCTCGCCGGTAACTAGAATGGAAGACACGTAATGATGTCATGACCATGACTGCTGTCGAGTAGTCATTCTGGCCCACAAGTACAGGTAAAACCAATCGGAATCTGCTCTCATCAAATACATCTGCATGGATTCTGATACCTGGAAGACTCAGATAGCCGCACAGAGACACTGCCTCGTTGAAACATCTCTATGCTTTCCTGACAATCTATAGTACTAATATAGTACTAATCAACCATACACAACCCTTCCTAATGGGGGTGTTGACCTGGAAGTTTTATTTTAAATATAAAACAGTATGGGGGGAAATTAAGTGAAAAGGAAGTTTTAATGTGATTAATTATGTGTATTATTCTTTCCTTTCATTCCATGCTTTTAATAGTGATACATTTTTAAAAAACTGGTCATAGCAATAATTTCTTAGATCTTTGTATTTTTTTAAAGATAAATAAAGAAAGGAGGTTGGGTCACAACACACTGTGTTAACAACACCTGTCCTTGATCATTGAACATTGCAACACAGAGTAAAGAGAGAGGAGCTGATAAAATTACAGCAGAAATGATAACGAATAATAAGACATTTAAAACATGAAAACAATCAAATTACCACTTTAGATTTAGCAATATTCACTTGGAAAAAGTATGCTAAAAGTAGACTCTAAAACATGCCAGAACAAACCTGGATTTAAAAGGAGGAAAAAGAGATGAGCAATTTGAGGAGAGAGTTCAATGAAGACTCGTCACAGACCTGGAGCAATAAGAAAGGGAATGTGCTGCTTATGATTGGGAAAGATCAAGTAAAACCCTCACGAGCACCTGAGGATAACACAGGCCAGCCATGGAAAGCTAAAGGTTTCCTCATCCAAACTGAGATCTCATGTGACATACACAAATCCTTAGGCATTGCACAAGAAAGCTTAGAGACCAGGGTCTACTATAATCCTTTTGGTAAGAAAATTGGTGTTGGGAGAAAATTTGCCTACCTAAAAACTCATACAGGCAATTGGGGTGAGCAGAGTAAGAATTCAGATCTCCAGCGGTGACTCATTCTATTGTTTCCACCAGCCTTCTGAGTGTGCCCAGTCAGGTCCTTCAAAGCAGATAAACTGGGTTCCTTGCTGAAGCTTCACTTCACCCCTGCAGGTCAACCATGCTTATTTTCCTTAGTGAAGCTTCACTTCACCCCTGCAGGTCAGTCATGTTTCTTCTTGCCTGTGAATTCCAATCTTTGTTCACAGGATATTATGGTAAAACTGAGCATTTTAGTTCTGGGTTCCTATTTGACACTTAATTTTGTCTTCCAATTAATTACAAAAAAGTTACAATGAATAATGGGAAAGGAAACATTTTTTCTTTACACAATTACAGCATATACTGTATATTTAAGATGTTTCATTCCAGTAACTGATGAATAGAGATGAGATAAAAGAACAATTTGAAAATGAGATAATTCTTTCCAAAACAACCATATGGAAAGGGGAAAAATATCCCATAAGTCTTTTGCCAATGAACTAACTGAGTTAGTGACCAAACAGTACACTGAGTGACTGACACAACTGGAATACTTCCCCTACCTTACTAGTTTATGGAGTGTCTATTTTATCCAAGGACAGTGTCTTCAAAGGAAAGTCCTTTATCAACAGATGAGTTTTGCTTTGGATAGACCCATCTTTGTAAGGGAGGAAAGGAATTTTTTTTCCCAAGACAACCTTCTGTATAGTTTGCTCAATGTATGCAACTTCACCTTGACACACTTCTTATATAGCAACTTCACCTTGACATACTTCTTATACACAGCTACCTCTGAGTACTTTCAGTAGAACAAAGGCTTTGTTTGTAACATGATATATTTATGTAGAGGTAAAATTTTAACAAACTATCCACCATACTTTTTCCCACTTAACCTTAAAAGCAAAGAATGTCATGAGTTAGAAATATGTAGGCTTCACCTTGGAAGTACTGACTGATCCTCAAATCTACTGCAAGCATTTTTTTAAAGAATTGTCCCCAAATTTTGTTTTAGAAGACAAGAATGAGTATATGAAGTCTACTACAGCGTCTTTTCCATGTAATGACTAACTCTTGATGAGCACTTAGTGGTCCAAGTGAATTCTTCGGCAGGAGGATGGGTTATCGGGGGTCTCACGTTTTCTTTTTTGGCTTAGGCTGTTGCCTTTTCATAGACACATGCCTGTGCACCTCGAGAACTTGAACATGGAATAGCCTTGCTAATAATTTACAAAGCTAATTCGATCAAAGTATTAATGTCCTGAATACTGGAAGTGCTGCCTTACCCTTGAGCGTGTACAGTGGCTTTCTCTTTTCAACAGTTATGCAGGCTTCCCCCTCCTCTCCTGTGGGATGACACAGCTGTTGTTGCTACAGTGCTATTTTATCATGAGCGTCAAATTTGCTCAGTTCTGCTTGCTGACATTCAATTATCTGTCATTCACAGGACTGTAAAACCACCCGTGCCATGACCACAATGCATCATTAGCTTCCCCGCACTACATTGGAAGCATTTTTCTAGATATTAGAAAACCCTTTTGTTCTAGTATTAGTTTAAAGATTGCAATGGGTCATGGACATCACTTAGACTAGATAAGACTTCAACATTCCTAGCCTGTCCTAATTTCATGACTAGCCAGCTACCTAGGATGTGCTAACCAAAGCTATTGTACTGAATTTTTATTTTTGACAAATACTCATTCCATGGACCTTTTGCTTAAGTCACATAAAGGGTTATGTTTCTCTGTGAGACTTCATCGGTGGTGGTTCAGATGTTGGTGCCTGTGAAGAATGAGAGTAAAAACAACTCTATAGCGCAAATTCAATCTCTATTTTAACCTGAGATGACAGCTGATATTTCTTGTATCCACCAAGGACCCTCTGTGAGTTTATGTGGGTCCTCTCTTGTAAAAACACGAGCCAATATGAAAGTTCCCATTTTCCAACATGCAGACCAATTTCAAATATGTGGCGCTCCTAATAATAACAAGCACATTCAAGGCTGGAAGGTGGTGGCACACACCTTTAGTCCCAGCACTTGGGAGGCAGATCTACGTAAGTTCAAGGCCAGCTTGGTCTCCAGAGTGAGTTCCAGGTCAGGCTCTAAAGTTACACAGAGAACTTCTGTCTTGAAAAGGCAAAACCATAAAACGATAAAATAATAATAATAATAATAATCACATTCAAATGAATGAAAACAAATTTGTTTATATTAAAAGCTACTTGCCCACTCAAAGATATTGGTTATAAATTAGTACACAGATAGAGCCTTTGTATTATGTGTTGCAATGAAAATTTTTGTCAACATAATAAAAATATATTTTAAGGTTCATTCAACTGTTTGAAACCATCAGTTGTGAAAATATATGCCTTGTGTGTGAACATACATTGTGTGTGTGCATATGTTTCTTTAAACTGGGAGAGGATTAAAAACCCTAAATATCTTGTGACAACATAAAGAAATAAAGCAATGGCAGGGGACATTTGGAACTTTCTGAATTCAACAACATTTTCTACTCTGAACCCTCTACAAGAAATATTTCAAGTGGACTCACTCTGACCACAGTTTCTCTGACTTGAAAGTGAAATCAAATTACATTTTGGGACTTCGTAGGATTCTGCACACACCTTACTTCTTTTAAAAACCAACAAGATTTTTCTAGTTTTATACAAATTAACTATGGGAAATGGTCATTAAAGAGAGACAGTCAGAAAGATAGAAAGACAGACAGACAGACAAGGTAAAAACCAAGGGAGTGGTTTTGCTGTTGCTCTCCCTAACACGTTTGTTAATGGGAGGGCAAATTTATAGAAAAAGGTTATCGGAGTTGATAATTCTTAATAGTGACCTCTTTTGCTTTTGTCCTGCTAAGGTTATTTATAGAGAAAGAATCAAATGCATAACTTTTAATTTCTATGGAAAAATAAAAATTACTTTCAAACTTCATTTTCAATATTCTCCTGAAGTAGATGTATCACGAGTTTGTATTGTGTTTTCCCAGTTATCTGGGTGATTGACTTGACTTCTGGTGCTCACTATACATGTCATCTGTGTGGTGTGTGTGTGTGTGTGTGTGTGTGTGTGTGTGTGTGTGTGTGTGTGTGTATGTGTGGTGTTAATTACTTGGCTTTGACTTCTCATGTGCCTCAAGAGTTGAACACACATTTTGCTCTTCTATTATGTCATGATATGCCACTTTAATACTGGAAAGTATAACTTTTTTTTGTTTTTTTTTGGGGGGGACAGGGTTTATCTGTGGCTTTGGAGGCTGTCCTGGAACTCGCTTGGTAGTCTAGGCTGGTCTCGAACTCACAGAGATCCGCCTGTCTCTGCCTCCCGAGTGCTGAGATTAAAAAGTATAACTTTTGACATTGGATTTTATAACCCTCTTGTTATTACAAAACAATGAAAGTTCGGACTTCAAGAGAAATGATTGCTTTTCTCATATCATTGAACACATTTCTTATTTGTTATACTCTAGAATTTCATCCTGTCCTAGAGTTACTTATTTTAAATGTTTTCCTTGATCACTTTGAAAAGCTTAATGTCTGTTCCTCAATAGAAAATGTGCCACAAGTAGCACCCCATGTGAAAATGCAGAAATTACACCATCAATGTGTCAGAAAAGCTTAAGAGCATGACCTCAATTACTACAAAGAAAAACGTATGTTCTTCATACTGTTGGTGTCATTATGCATCTAAAGAAAAATCTCATTTTCTTTAAAAGTATTAGTTTTTCATGGACAATACTATCTAACCACCAGAGTTCTCACAGTTTCATATATAAGCATTTGAAATCTTTTAAAAATAAATAATATACATTAACTATAATTAGGTGTTCTCTTAACTTTTATGAAGTAGCATTCTTAATGTTCTAAATAGCTGCTTACATTAAAAAAATCACTAAATTCTAATTTAGTGATTTCAGGTTTTGGGATTCTAATTCAGGTTTTGGGAACCTGAAAAACAGAACAATCACTTTTATTAAAAGCAAATCAGACAAGGTAATTCTTTATTTAACATCAAGTAAAGCAGGTAAGTATGTAGATGATAGATAGATAGGTAGGTAGATAGATAGATAGATAGATAGATAGATAGATAGATAGATAGACAGACAGATAGAGATAGAGCCTGGCAAATTCCATGTCTTTAAATATAATATTAAATGAAAGGTAAATTTAATTTTCACAAAGAAGTAAAGCTGTCTTTAATTCCCATTCATTTGACAACAAAAGAGAATTAAGTCATTTAAGGAATTCCAGCATTCACATAATCCCCATTGAATATCAGGTACCAGAGTTCTTACCACCCCTGAACCTTGGATCACAAAATCTCAACTAAATCTTCATGCATGGTTATCAATTAGTGGCTATGCAGATGAGTTTAAAATATATAAATTTGTACTCAATGAAATAGGAGCAAGACCTTTATCCAGATGTTAACTCTGGCCCTGCTGTATGTGGTGGGATATTGCAATGAGCAAGGATACCTAAGAATATTACCAACTCTGTCATGACCTTGTCTGCAAGCATGAATGATTTCCAAGTTGAACATACCTTAAAGCAGTCTCTGGACAGAATGTTTTATAATTGATGAATTTTGTGGTGAGAGAACACAGCTAAGAAGTCTAAGGTTATGGAGTACCATAGATGCTAATAGCTTTGTCATGCCTCTTAGCCATATACTACTCATCCTACTTCAACTCCATGGTAACTTGTGAATTAAGTCTAACAAACAAGTTTTCATGTGAGTATGTCAACAAAGTAGTGCTTCGATGTTGAGTAGAAAATGATAGGGCTCATTTGGAACCCAGGAAAGCAAACAGGCTATCTATGTGGAGTGACCAAGAGATATAAATTGAAACAGGAAATTGTCCTAGTCCATCAATCCCCTACCCAACTTTATCAATAAATACTGAGTTTTTCTCCTTTTACTTGGAAAATTCACACTTGTTCCAAATGAAATTAGTAGGCTCAACATATTAAGGGCAACAGATCTTATGTGGGCAGGTTGTAAAGAATAGATTTGAAGACTAAAAGAAGCATTTCCATCAAATTCAAAATTGAGTCTTTTCAATAGTCCATAATAGTATATGATACTATGGAAGTATATTATATGATCAGGAAGAATTAAGGAACCTGCCATGAGAATGTGTGGGATTTTTTACACGTAAATAAGCAATCATCTAAGTAGGACTAACCCAGGCTTTTTCACCAAATGGAGAAAGAAACAAAGGGCTGAATAGCACAATGGAGACTGTATTCAAACAATAAAGAACTGTCTTTTATTTGGAGCCAAAAGATATTTTTGTCTGTGGTAACAGAAAGATCAGAGTGATATATACAGAAGCACAAAATGAAAATTTGTGGAATAAACTATCCAAGAGTATAAATATACACTTTTCATAAATATTCAAGGCATTATTTGACATGTTGGTTCAAATGAAGCTCCACACGTGCAATTTTAAGCTTCTTGATTTGGGCATTGGTCCAATAAAGTATATATTTCCCACAGCTATCAGCTTTTTTACTAAAAATACATGCTTACACCCTACTTCTAAAATAGTCTAAGATAATTATTTCCTTCTTCATACGAACTAGTACAGTTATGACTGCCATTGTCTCTCATTTCTAAGCAAAGAAATTGGTTTTGAAATACTGTTAATACAAGAAAGTGTGCTAATGGAGAAAGGCATTTCCTTAAAATTGTGCTAAAATTGCCATTTTTATTTATGATTATTTCATTGTGCAAGAGAAGATTTTGTTTTCAGTAACAAAAATAAAATTATCCAATACAACTCTCTAGTCCATTGCTCACTCTCCAGCCATCTAGCCCCTCCCTGGATCAACTTCACAATGCATGTAATTCATTTTGAAGGCATAAAGCTAGCACTTAGCACACAGAATTCCGACTGACAATTGCTCAGCCTTTTAGTGAGGAAATGGTGACACCTAGAAAGGCGATCTGTTGAGTTTTCACTCAGTAGATGCCAAAGAAAAACCACTTAAGATACAGTATTTTTTACAGATAAATAGAAAGGCAAAAAAAATCATTGGGAGAATTTATAAAACCCCTGTTTAGTGGAGGAGGGGTTTAATTCCAGGCTTCCTATTGGCCTGAAAAACAGAGACACCAAAACAAGTATCGTCAACAGTTCTCTTTCCCTTGACTGCCTCTCTTACTACTGCTACTTTTAAAGCCAGATTTGCCTCTGGGGCAATGCTTACCACATAATGCTATATTAGTTAATTTTTAAAGAGCAGACAGCCAGGAATGAGCCAAAAGCTTTTTGATTTGAGGTTGTCAGAATGAATTTTGTATATGGTTATTTCCATGCTGTTTTATGGTGAAAAGGCATTAAGTTCACACATCTTGTAAATATGGCCGAGGAAGATATCTCAGCACAATGGAGTTAGCTTTTCTATAGCACTCATGATGTTTCTCCCTTTCACTTAGTTCATAAGTGCATCATCGACTCAAACTCATCAATTCTCTGTTTGGTGTTCCCTTTCCTGATTTTCCGATAGGATATTGTATTGTATCTGGAATAAGCATTCCTCGAGATATCACCCTTCTTTCCCAACATGGGCTGCTCATCTGGGGTCCCAGGCTGGGAGCTGGGGCTGCTTAGTGGGGAGTCCTGCCTTACATGGTTTTCCTCTTTTAATTCGGAACCTTCACTGTGTTTTCTCTTAAATTCTATTACTCGAACTTCATCTTCATCATCATTGCAATCGTCAACATCTTCCTCATTAATTTCTTCATTCCAAACTTCTGGTTCCTCATCACATCTAGAATGTAATATGTCAACTTGACTAGCTTTCCGGAACCCTAGCCATTCAATTTCAGTTGTCTGGTAGGCTCTGTTCTCGTCTTCTCTGTGTTCCCGAGGTTGGTGGAAAATACTTTCCTTCTGTGTACTCATTTCCAGGTCGCTGCTGCTCAGAGGAATCTTCTTCCATGGATGCCCTGTAGCAAAATGGACTAGTGGTGAGATGTGTTGGGGTTTCAGAGCACCTGGATGCTATTGCGTAATACTCTAACTCATTCTTCTGAACAATCAGATTCCAACTTGTGCCTTATAGACTGTGACTCTGGGCTGCCTGATGAGTCTAGACAATTAAACAGGCTTCACGGTCAAAACAGTTTGCAAAACACTGCATTTCATATAATCAAATAAGTATCTTAGAACTTAAGTTTTTAAAATGCTAGTAAATATTGTATGTCTTCAGGAATGTCTGCAACCCAACCTCATTTAACTGGAATTCTATTGTCATAGACAAGTGTATTTAGTAGGATTACTGTTCTCTGAGGCACACTTGTTTCCCTTGCCAAAACTATATATATATACATATATATATGAGTGTGTGCTCTGGGCGTTGGTGGCACATGCCTTTAATCCCAGCACTCAGGAGGCAGAGGCAGGCGGATCTCTGTGAGTTCGAGGCCAACCTGGTCTACAGAGCAAGTTCCAGGCAGCCTCCAAAACAATACAGAGAAACCCTGTCTCGAAAAAAAAGTGTGTGCATTTGTACCATGCATGTATATATATGTGTATATTTTATATGTGTGTATGTGTACATACCCAGTAAAATATTTGATTTAACTTAACATCCACAAATATATCCTACAAGGACAACGCAAACAATATATCAGAGGGAAACGCTTTATTCCAATGTGAAAATGATGACTGGTATGTGTAGTCACACTCAGAGTAGTAGCTTTGACATTTGACCCTGTCTCTTGAGTGGTAAAGAAGAGGAGCAGCTTGGGCTGCAAAGATGGCCCAGTGGTTAAGAGCACGAGCTGCTCTTCCAGAGAACTTGGTTCCAGTCCCAGCATCCACATGGTGTCTCACAACTATTCCTAACTTCAGGTCCAGGCAATCCAACACACTCAGGTACTAGGCGTTGCACATGGTGCACAGATATACATGTGGGAAAACATTCACATGCAAAAAATTAAGAAGTATGAAAAGAGTAAAGGCAGGCTGGAGAGATGGGTTAGTGGTTACAAGCACTTGCTCTTGCAGAGGACCCACGTTTGGTTCCAGCACCCACATGGCAGCCTACCCCTCCCTGATGCTCTAGTTGGCAGAGGAACAATGCATTCTTCTTGCCTCCAGGCACCAGGCAGGAGATAAGAGTATAAACCATTCATGTACATAGAAGAAAAATCAACAAAACTCTTTTAAGAAGATGATCATAAGTCCCTAGATTGTATAGTGGAGTCTTCCCGCCAGCCTGGTTCCAGAGCAGCATCAGTCCCAAATGAACACACAGGAGGCTATATTAATTATGAAGCTGTTGGTTATTTGCTTGGTTTCTTATCGCCTATCTCTGACTTAAGTATTTATCCCATAATTGCTAATCTAAGTATTTCTCTTACCAGAGAAAAGGATCCAGGCCTCTTATTCCTATGGTGGCTGCATCATGACTGCCTGAGTCTCTCTTTCCCAGAATCTTCCTCAACTGCTAGTCCTACCTATCTTGTTTCCCTATTGGCCAAAAGTGCTTTATTGACATATACACAGGACTTCCCCATCACTAGATGTTCAGAACTGATGTGCTGGCAACTGAGAAACACACAGCATGGCTTAGGATCTTCTGATGACTTGGAGGAATCCAGGTCTAATAGTCATGTTGGGCTTGGATGTATAGAATTCTAGATCCCCCTGTTGTTGCAAATGACAGCTGAGGAACATTGCTTGGTGCCAAGTTGTGACTTTTGAAGGCTTAAAGCACTCTAGTCATTGGTTTCCAAATAGCTGGCACATATTTACACATTGTACTAGTATTTCTTCATGTAGGAGAATGAATTGTAAGGGAGCACAAGTTTTTCTGAACATGCACACATGACAGGCTTCTGTGCAAAACCACCTACCCACAGTCAACATGGCTAGAATGTGCAGTTTCACCATCCTCTTTCTATGCAAGAACAGCCTGCCTACAAACTAGGCAAAAAAAACCCAGCTGTCAGCTTTGTTCTCCCTTTACAGTTCTCCCTAGAAATCTGTTTTCATCAAAGGCTTTTGTTTTTTTCTCTGAGTCCAAGTTTCCATGTACTGTGAAAGAGAGAAGTAAGCATGAATTACCACCCACACTAAACAGCTGCTGTCAGTCCTCTGTTTGACATTCTCCACATTGCAAACAGTGTACACTGGATATTTGCTATGATAGTAGACTTTGTTTTGTTGTGTATTCCCCCACCAAAAATAAAATAAAATAAACACACACACCACACACACACACACACACACACACACACACACAAATGATCTCTTTGTTCCTATACATGACTCAGGCCTAACACTGTCAAGAATAAAAGTCATCCTTCAATTTAAAATTGACAGTGCTTTTCCTCAATATTTTTACCATCTTTATACCCTTAGCAGGCATATTCCTCTTATAGCTGTTTGCCATCTTGAAAATAAAGGGCACTGAAACCAGTACCTCTGTCATAGAGTAGAAGTATGCTATATCAGGACCCACAGACTGGATGACCTAGAGACTGGGATGGAACCAGACATGACTGGTGGGGGAAAATATCAATGCAATGATGGCTAACACTATTCTGCTATACTTGTAGATTGGTGCCTAGCCCAGTGGTCATCAGAGAGGCTTCATCCAGCAACAGATGCAGACTCACAGCCAAACATTAGGTGGAGGTGAGGGAATCCTGCAGAAGAGGGGGAGAAAAGATTGTAGGATCCAGAAGGATCAAGGATACCACAAGAAAATCCACAGAGTCAACTAGCCTGGGCTCACAGGGCCTCACAGAGACTGACCTGACAACCAAAAGCCTGCATGGAAATGACCTGGACACTTTACATATATGTTACAGTTGTGTAGCGTGGTCTCTTGTGGGACACCTAACATCAGGAACAGGATCTGACTCTTTTGCTGGCTTTTGTGACCCTACTCCTCATACTGGGTCACCTTCCCCAGTCTTAATACATGGGGAGGTGCTTAGTCTTACTGCAGTGTGATATTCCATGTTTTGTTGATATTCTTGGGAGACCTGCCCTTCCTGAACACAGGAGGAGTGGAGGGAACTGTTCCCATGGGGGGGGGGACAAGGGGTGGGAAGAAGGGACTGGGTGGAGAGGAAGGAGGGGAAACTGTAGCCAGGATGTAAAACAAATAAATAAATTTAAAAAGAAAAAAAAAGAAGGGAAGGATTTAAGCAGAGGCAAATTCAGTAGAGATACCATGTACCACAAAGAGAGAGGTTCCCTCACTCTCCACCTGACTGAAAGGCAAGATCTTTGGAAACTTTTTTGTAGTGGGTCCCCTGACAGATATACAGGCTGTAGGTGGACAATGGTGAGCCCTGCCCTGATAGACTTGCCACATTAAAAACAGGATTGGGGCAAAAAATAAAAAGTTATGGAATTCCTCTGGGGGTCTCTTAACTTTCACAGACTACTCTCAGGTGAGATAGTATCTTGCGATATCTCTGCAATTCCACACTTTCTCTGCTACCACACTTTCCTGTGACTGTTTACATATTGGCCAGCAGAGTGTGGGAGCAGTCTAGACAAAGCAAAGAGAGAAACTCTGAAATCCCCGGGCACCTCCCTGTTCTCCTTGGCATCTGCTATTTGCATGGCGTTCTAACGTTGCTTTGGTGGCTCCCCTAGGCTTTCCCGGGTTGGTCCTAATCTCAATTGGTTAGGCACTACATACTGACTTCAATTTAGAAATAAGCTGTTTACAGCTTCAACAGAGGGAACAAGTGATTAATTAAGAGATTCTATTCTGCACTGCACTCAGAAACTATTTGAACATAAACGTCTCCTTAGAAGAAAATGTTTAGAAGATTTTGTAACCTTGTCTACTGACTCTCCTTGAAATGTAACACATCCACTTCCATGTACCTTTTTGCTCACAGTTGTGTAAAGAACACAAAACCAACTCATCACTTGGGGCACATTTCTTTGACAAGAAATAGTTAACGATTCCGCACCTCTTTCAGACATAATTTTCCCACGGAGTAGCTCGTTTCATAAACTTACTTTAGACTGTACATGAAAAGGAAAATTGATACTAAGCCTGTTTCTGAACCATCCTGAAAACTGCCTCACACCCATCTGGAGCACCACATTGAAAAAAAGCTTGATTTAGGGGGCTCGTCTGTCAAGACATGCCTATCATGTTGCCATGAGAGCTAATCAGACCAATCCATACGACTTGGGGCTTGAGTCATCTGGAAAGCTGGGTAAGGTGAACTCACAGAAGACAAGACTCATATCTGCCCAAAGCAGCTTGAAGATTTTGAAGCCATTGCTTGGAGCTGCTTCCTAAGAGTACACACACACCAAGCATCACAGGCAGTGTTGTCATTCTATCCGGCCAAACAGTTGTTAGGAAACTAGAATTCCTGTTACCTTCTCTGAATGCCATGTTATCAGCACTGGCTTCTTGGAGAGAAAGATCTTTGATGACCTTGTGAACAACAAAGACATCGTCTTCTGGGTTCTCTGGGGGAAAACAGGAGTATTATAACATTGACAACATATATGGATAAAGGCTCACAAATGATCAATTCTGATTCTAGGTAACATCTTTAGTTTCAATTATGATTAGTAAAAATTATCATTCTACTTTTCTGATTCTTTTAAAATTAAGTTGTGTATATTTAATAATTATCTTCCACAATGAAAGTCTCTCATATATATGTATATATGCTTAAATCCTTTATATATAATTATGATTATATATCATTTATAATATACATATTATAAATCCTGTATGTATATATATTTATTATATACAGAACTATGAATTCAGAGCTCTTTAGACATGCACAGAAGGGGATCTTAAAATTATGAGTTCTCCTTTTTCATATAGCGAACTTGTGGGTCTAACAATAAACAGCAGTACCTAACATTGAATTAATATTTAGAAATTATTCTAACAACTCAAAAAAGGTAGTTACTATTATTCTGCTTTATTCCTAGTGAAAGTGCTCAGGGTTCAAAAGAGAAAGAACTGGTACAGAGCTACCAGACGAACCTAGACTATGAGTCTTCATGATAGGAAGTCCCTATTGGGATACAGAACTATATTTCTGTGGTCCCTCTTACTTATATAATACTAGTTTATATAAAAAGGGGGGAAACCAAGTTGGTTTGCAAATCAAAAGAATTCAACTGAGAAGGGGAGATACTTTACCATGGAGAATCTTCTCACCTGCAACCTCTTTGGGTAGTTTGTTATCTTTAGTGTTTCCATGCTCTTCTTCATTTCCTCTTGCAGGTAAATCTTCAAAACTGGGCTCAACCCTGTAGTATGGCTGAGTCTCATGTGCATCATCGGTGCCCTTACTGGTCTCAGTGATATACTGTTGGACATTCTCAGGCGGTCTGTCCCCGTTACACTCTGTCCCACTCAGCGTCACAGAAGCATCTGTCATGATGACCACTGAGGTCTGATTTAGGGAAAGCAATGGAGAAAGTAAGGGAACTTGTCTTTGATAAGATATAATATAACTGGTCCTACAGTTCCAAAACCTATCCTAAAAACATAAGCTTTCACTCTGAAATCTAATAACAAGATTCCTTCTAAAGGTTTTCAGGGCTCAGAAGGAATGTGATAGGGCTTGTCAGTTTGGTTGCCAGCCCAGGAGTAAAAGCCAGCCAATCAGCAGTCTCCCCACCACCTCATAGTCCCACTCTTAGAATCACAGTTGCCCTTCAATTTGCATAAACAAACAATCTGAAGCAATCACGCTTTTGTGTTGGCTTGTAGAGGGGGACTTGCAGCTTGTCAGTCCCCCTCTGGGAACAGAGATTTTTGTCCTTTTCCATAATGGCCCATTGTACTTTTCCTTGTAACAGGAGCCACAATTGTTCCCAGGCTTTAATCCACAGAGAATGACCACCTCGAGGCACATTAGTTCTGTGTAACCAGCTTAACATTTCCAAACAGATTTGGTTCAAGTAAAACCTCAGCTATTTTGTAGGAAACAAAGGCATCATTTCTCATTTATTAAAGAATAAAACCAGCTTTTCAAGGATCTGTAAACATGACAACTTGATTGCAAATGTCTTTGGCAACAGATTTCATGCTATGCCTTCAGGAAGCTGAGAGGGGACCTAAAGTAAAACAAACAAACAAACAAGCAAATACTCCTGATGTGCTAAGAGCAAGAATTTCAGTCTTGGTGTAGTTCATCTTGTCTCGGGCTTATGATTTTTCCAGCTTCTTTATGTTTGTGAAAGGCTGCCTTATCCAATAAAACCCTCGTATAATTTTCCCATGAAGTTTTCCCTTGCTGCAGTCAGAATTATCCTTAGCATTTTATACGGTATTTGTGATGCAGTCTGCCCTCCCATGATTGGTTGAAACTAGGCAGTGGCTCACTTCCCTTTCCCTTTTAAAGGAATATATTCTTTTTCTTTTCTGAATTGTCCAGCCCTTCCTCAAGATCAAACCCTTGGTCCAAGTACCTCTTATGAGCCCTCAGCTCTGGGCTAACATATCATTCCTTTAATGACTCTTTCCCTGGCCCACATTTTTTTCTTCAGAGTTTAATTGGTTATGATTAACTAGGTAATTTCACAATAATGACTCTTTACCAATCTAAACTTCACCAGAGCAGGATAAAAGGGTATTTGCTTACTATTGTTCTTAGCATGCACTACCTGCCTTGGTCTGAAACCGTCCTGGAAGACTTTCTAAAGGGAAATACTTGGCCCCTCCTTCAGCTATCAGACTACTGAACAGTAGTTCCCAGGGAATTGGAACTTCCTGGGCATTTCATGCAGGGAGGAGAAAAAAGATAAAGTCTGGTGCCAGCTAGAGAAGACACTTGTCTCCCAGGAAGACTTTTCATTCAGATCTGTAATGTTATCAGACCACCTTGCAGCAGGGGGTGAAACCATGATCAATATGGGCAAAACCACACACTGGCCAAGACTGCTTAACAGTTGGGCATAGCTCTTACCATCCATTTAATACAAAACTCATGTCAGCACCCCATGGTGAATTTGAGTTCACAACTAGATCTTGCACACTCAACAACTCTTCTCTGCTCTTGGCTTCTTCTGATTCTTTAGTTGGTCCACCAGGTAGCCAAGGGGAATTTGTTAGTGCTACTGGAAATGGTGACTGCCCTTTCATGATCACATTACCATACGCTACTTAGGAAATCAGACCACGAGGGGTTCTTGGTCTTATTTGTAAATGATTTAAGAATGGACTCAGAAGGATGTTCAAAGACAATCTTACTGGTTTAAAAGGAAAACCCCAAGGCAAGCAAGCTCTAAATCCCTATACCTGCCTGTGAAGGAAAGATCAGATGAGGAAGAGAGGAAACTTTGCACTAAGCCTGTGGGGAAGTTAGATTCATTAGATTCAGGCCAAGACCCAAAAGAGTGAGACGGGAAGAAAAGGAAAAAGTTACACCATTCTGAGTCAGGACTCAGAAAGAGTCAAACCTAACAGAACTTCTCTAAACCATGAAGGCACTGCACTATTGAGTAGGGAATCTGGGGAACAAAAGTACATTATCTCTCTAAAAGCATATTTAACTATCCCTTCTAACTTTGTAGAGTGGATTAGTGTGTGCCCGCCTTCCTGCGGGTGGTACCTGGCCACTTGGTTTGCTGGTCCAATTGGATTAACTTATGATGGGGAGACAATGACATGTCTCTACCTAGAAGCAGATTCTGTTTTCCAGCCGATGGGTGTACCAGCTTTCGCTTAATGGGCCTTCAAAGTTACTCTATCGTTCAACTTTCCTAAAAGCTCTGGTGACAGACATTCTATTTAAAAAATTTAAATATCTGTGTGTTTGAAGAAATGAGTAAATCTATGCCTCCAATGAAATACTCTTGAGAACATTTTTATGGGAAATCAAGAACAAAGATTGAGATGTGCTTGTAAATTTATCTCCTTTAAAATTGTGTTTACGAGGCTGGATAGTGAGTTCAATGATTAGGCTGCTCTTCCAGAGGATCTGAGTTCAATTCCTAGCACCTGCCTACATATTCATTCACAAACATCTGCCATTCCAATATCAGATGATCCAACAACCTCTTCTGGCATTTGCTGGACGCAGCCATTCAAGTGCTGTACAGACAGACCAACAGGCAGAACACCCATACACATAAACTGAAATCTGAAAGATTTAAAAATTTAGAAATGTGTCTAGGGATGAGTTCACTTAATTTTATATCAGGGACAACAAACACATGTTACTGTGACACTATCTGCTCAATCCTGTCCCAAAGAGACATCTCCAGAAGAGACTGAGACTCCATCTCTTGTTGTCTCTCTAGCATACATTTGTTAGATGGGTAGTACGTTACATAGCTGGTAAGGTCTCCGATGAAAGGGTATGATGGTAGGGAACTCTAAGTTCAATGGAGGCTTTCTCACATCAGGAAGGGTTTCACTCAGCACTTAGGAAGCTAACTCAGAATGTCGCAATCACAGAAAGATTTCTGAGTCAGTAGCTCCACATTCGATCTAGAGAATTTGAAGAATGAGATTAATGGATTGCAGAGAGTGAATTTTGGAAAGAAGTATATCTATGGGGAACTTAAGAGAAAGAAAGGAGGCAGAGGTCCTGTGTAGCTGGTGCTGAACCTAGGAAACGTTGTACCATCAAGCTACAAATCTTTTTTATAGGACTAATGATATACACTAGGGTGAGGTATGGGGGGAGGGAAGTTCAGTCCAGTTGGCCCACCCATAATGTGTCTCCCCTCAGCTTTAGAAATATCATACCTTCAGCTTCTAGGCACAAAATAAGCAGAACCTCCCCCTGGCCCCTGGTAAGAACAGAAATGCAGATAACACCAAGGATATTTCCAACTTTTAGTCAAGAAAAACAATTAAAACTGTTCACTTCCAGGCTTGCTACCCCTAAAACTGTTCGGCAAGTTTTTCTCTCCTACATTTATCACCTTTAATGGCACACACCACAAGTGAAGCCGCCTGCCAATTACCAAGCACCTTGGCAGCTGAGAGAATTACAGCCACGAGAGGGCAGCAGAGGGATGGGTCCGGACGGGCCGGAGGCAGTGGCCAGTCCTTCCCTGGAGGCACAGAGGAGCTGCTGGAGACAGTGAAGGCTCTGTCTTCACCAGAAATAATCACAAAGCCTACAGAGGAGGGAATGTTGAAGGGGATCTACAAGGGTGCGCAGACATGGAAGCTGAAGTTCAGGTACAAACGGGAACACATTAAACTCTAAGACCCTTAAAGCAAGAAGTGACCCCCATTCAACCAAACGGCCAGCAGAAAACAGAAATACAGAAATGCTCACATTAGTTTTAAAACACCAATCCCCAGTCACTCCCAGTGGGGCTTTTCAAGGACCTCAGTTCAGATCACCACAACATTTAGAATCTAAACCCATTGCCTCTTCTACTTCTAGATGGATATTACCCCTAGTAAGTATAGTATATTCCTGCTCCCTAATTTTAAATAGAACTTTATTTGCCCGTGACTGTTTCCCATCAATGCATGCTCTGATTCTTTTGTGGAGTTAAAATTACTTCAGGTTTGGAGAGAGAAAAATTAATATAGGATTTTGTCAATTTTGGCTAACCAGCGTGCTTGCTTCTCTAGGAAGTGTTTGATAAACTACAGAGAAATAAAGAGCAGGTGAATAAGGGATAGGAGGAGCTATGAGATACCTTTGGCAGCAAGATGATTCTAACTATTCAATAAAACATCTTATTTTATCCTTACAGAGGTGGGTTGTCACCCATTGTTTATAGCAATCTATGACTTAGAAAGGCTGTTGGAATCTGGGCTAATGGTCCTTAATTCAAATTCTATTGCTTCATGCTCACTGACTGAAACATGATTTTACTTTACATAATATCTTGGTGTATTTTACTTTTTCTCTATTATCTTTATTTTAAGGATTTATTTTTATTTTATGGCTTTGGGTGGTTTTAACGGCATGTATGTTTGTGTGCCATGTCCATGAGCTCGTGAATGCAAGAAGCAGGTGTGACATCCTCTGGAACTGGAGTTACAGGCAGTTGTTAGATACATTGTGGGTGCTGGGGCTACAACCTGGGGCCTCTGCAAAAGCAGTAAGTGCTCTCTATTGTTCTTAATGGCAAAAGGTGCAATACAAACTTAATCTTTTGGAAGACCTCACCCTCCCTGGGGAGCAGAAAAGGGGGTGGGATAGGGGTCAGGAGAGGAGGGGAGGGAAAAGTGACTGGGATTGACATGTAAAACACACTTGTTTCTAATTAAAATAAAAAAAAAGAATCTGTGGTTCTGATCAGCTGGGGCTGAATGAAGAATTGACAAAAAAAACTCTTTATCAGGTCTTCAGCTAAACAAAAAAACCAAAAAAGGAGCTTTGAAATAAATATCCATATGCTCTTTGTCAAATATGAAATGATTGAGGTCAAGAAACAGAAACCGGAATTTGAAAGAAATCATAAAGTCACAGAATAAATGGAAAGCCAAGCCATTATTTATGTTAGAGCTAAGGAATGTAAGGAATGGCCGATGAACACTAAATTTAAAAAATTCATTCATGTGATAGTTTTTGATCCTGGAAGCGTGGAGCCAACATTCACGCAAATGGCAGTATGCATAGTTGAGACAGGCTTACTCTTTTCATCGGAAT